TGATGCTGAGTAGTTTGGGAAATAATTATTATTGAATAAAAGCTATAAACCAATAAACATTTGTTTTATTTAAGTACCCAATATTAGAAAATCTATTATCTAGGTAAGACTGCCTTACTCGTCCCGAGGCAGAAATATGTTGAAATATCTGGGATCTGCTCCCGGTTTCGATTCCCGGTTAATCACATAATATAGTCTCACGCCTATATCCCCGAAGAGGTAGGCAGAGATGTATTACTACACCCACATTTTGCCAACTATTTTATTCTTAGGTTCCACGTAATAGAGGCCGGGTCTATTGCCGTTACCGAGCACATTTTCCAGACTCCATGCTACTGAGTATTTCTTGACAGAAAACCCAAGACAATTGATAAGTTAAATGTTTGATAACAGAAGTAATAATAAAGAATTAACAGAAGATTAACAGAAATTATTAAGTGACACTCAATGTCTTTTTCGCATTTAATAAAATGTGAAATGACTGTTTGTGTCATAAATAAATTAAAAAATAAAAGTATTGTAAGGGAAAATATTTCTGCTCAAAGAAATTACACCACCCGTATAACATAATGCCTATATATAACAACTCAACTGATCTCGTAAAATTCATTTAGCATATTAATTCTCCGCTTACACGGCACTAATTTCGATTTGTTTACGAAATACCGATTGGTCTGTCTCTGTAGTCGTTTAAAGTTGTTTTTACAAAACTTCGAAAAAAAATAGCACGTTTATAAATTTAAACATTAAGTACTAGACCATTAACAGTAATTTTATTCTAATGTCACATATTTTTAGTATGTGAATAATGCTGTTCCTGAATTAGTAAAGGTATAACTTTTTACATCTAATAATAGTCATCCGATAGTAGTAAAAAAAATGCTTTCGTCTTGCCATAAGTTATTATGGTTTATGTAAAATGATCAGGTAATTATTTAGGTATCTTTCTACGTCTTCGAACGCAATTAACGACGTTCCAAAAATCTCATCGTACCTAGCGTAAGTGACGGTAGCTTCAAAGAGAGCTGCACTACACTGCGCGCCGCTCCGATCAGGAAAAAAACGGACAAGTGCAAAAGCTACTCATCCGGGTTTTTCATGTCATTCCGGACCGGAAAAAATCGGACCGCCGGTTCTGAAAATTCAGTGTAGTGCACAAGCGCCTTAACACTGCTCGACCCGCAAATCGAACCCGGGTCCTCTCGATCGCACGCGTGAACTTATGCCGCGGGACCGACGAGGTAGTCTATTCTCGGTTCGAGCAGTGTTATTGGACTTTACTGTTAGTAGATTCTCGTTTGCAGCATGGAGTATAGACATGCTCCCGATAGAGAACCTACAGAACCTTTTAAAGCAAACAACAACAATCAACATTTAAAGCAAAGTAGACATACATTCCCCTACAAAAAGCAAGTAAAACAAACATTAAAAAGAATCTAACCGCACGCTACAATTGTTAAAATTATAACCTCAAATCCAAAATATACGTTTTGATTTATACATTTCTTAGAAGAGTCCGTTACTTAAACATGTATTTAGACGTAAATATAGATGCTTTAGAACACGAAAAGTGATAGTACATGCTTAGAGGTTCTTAGGCGAAAAATGTATGGGGGCTGGACATTGTCCTTTAACATAATAATTATAATAATGAAGTTATTATGATTATATCTTATATATATAAAAATTTTGTGTCACGATGTATGTTGCCAATAAACTCCAAAACTACTAAACCGATTTCAATCAAATTGAAATCGGTTTAGTAGTTTTGGAGTTTAACTTACTGGATAGGATAGTTATCATCTCAATTATTCGCTTATGTCGTGAATGTAAACGTACAAATTGTTTCTTAAGCAAGTGTTTATTTTACGGGAAGGGTTTTATTTCCTTAACGAAGTTCGCCGGGTCAGCTAGTATAAATTATATATTATTTAAAATAAAATTATATCTTGAAATATAGTCCAAGTTAACGTATCACGGCAAACCCAAAAAAGAGTATGTATTTGTTCTATTTGGTAATTGTAATTTTATATTCAGTTAAACATACGAACTGTTTTTATATTCATTTTTTGTTTGTTACAGTTTTTTCTTTACAATTTACTTATTTACCATAAAATAAATAATTCTCAAGCTTAGTCAGCCTTTGATTAATTCGCCCAAGCATTGAACCCTTCACAATGCATTACATTATAAACTTTCGCAATAGGGAATATGCGTCTGATTCAAAAAAGGGTTAAATATATTTTATTACAATCGTTATTGCTTTAGAATAAAGTCTATCTAAATATTTTTCAACATTAGTTCGTTTTCATCTTGAAAATAAATATTAAAAAGTGCAAAATAAATGCGGTAACTTCAAAATATTTAAACGCCATGCTACTTGTCAGAGCGGATGTGACGAAAATGTACACGTATAGGGATGTCGTTATTACAAAAAGTTAACATCGATGCAATAACATCAATGTATTATGTCTCAAAATAACAACTGATTACAATTTAAATGATGTTTTAGGCTTTTATTTTTATTTCACCAATATGGTAAATTATATGATTTATTAAAAAAGTCTATTATACTTTAAAAAATCGATCAGTCGTTCATCGATTACGGTAATTGAATTATAATCAATCACTCAAAATCCATATTGATTTAAAATGTCATATCTCTAGTCGTGTACTTTGACGTCACGACGAGCGCGCCAAAAATTCCGGTGTTTAAACTGCTCGTAGCTATTACTTATTTTCATAAATTATTAATGTTTCAAAATTTTAGTTTTTCGGTGCCGGGTATTTTTTTACAGTTATATATCGATGTAAATTATCATATAAAAACATTTTCCAAAAATGTGCATATTCCCTATTATAATTAACACCGCTACATTTGTTTGTGACATTATTCTTTTGTTTACTAAACAATATATGCAATATCTTTTACTAATGGTCAGTGATTTCCAAACTACACAAATAAATAAATAAACCAAAGCACGTTCTTTGTTTTTCTAGAGAGGTAGATACTAATGTTAGAAAAAAGGAAAGATTTAATGGTTTTTGCTATAAATAACTGTAACTACTGGACTGATTTTAAAAAGATGCAAAAAATCAACCACATAAAAAAGGTAGTACCTAATGATATATGTACATACCTATTAGATAGGTAGGTACGGGTTAGTGGAGCTTAACCCAACGAGGTCCTTACTGGATCCAGGGTTCTTCCCCATCCCTAGAGGGGGTAAACCCGCACCGGGTTATACCAGGTAGGCCTGCCTCGCATAAGCCTGTCTGTTGGAGAGCCCTGGTTATAAAAAAAAGGTAAATACGGGTAACAAAATAAAGATAAAAATCAAGTCATGGACTTTATGGCATCAAAGGCCCGTAGTTTAATGACATTTTTATTACGAAATCTTATTTTTTATTACTCAAGTAGAGTGGGTAAGTACACAATATTTTTTAAGACAGTGAATGATTTGGTATAGTTACCAAGAAACTTATACTGGTAACTACAGTTAAAATTATTAAAGAAATAACTGTTTTCTCGCGACTTTGCCGACGTAAATTATGGTTGTGTTACCTGCGACCCACTCCACCCATCATCACGTGGACAGGTGATAATTTAAGTAGGTGAAAGAATTTTCTAAATCTGTTAAGTCATAGTAAAAATTATGATCTGCTTAAGTCGTTTCTGAGCTAATTCAGACCAAATAAACAATTAAGTGTTTCCTCTTTATCGTCTAATAGTCTGCTCTGATACCCTATAGTGTGTGCTGCTCTATGAATAGTTTTAATCATTTTAAGTGCATAGTACAATTGAAAATGTTTTTATTTTTATTAGCGCTATCTAGTGGCACAGCTTTTAACTATGGGTCGAATATAATGGAGTGAAAATTATTTAAAAAGTCACCTGATGGCAATACTATGTTTGAAATATTATATTTGACCAGAAACAATAGAAAACAAAGAGATAAAAAATAACACATCCTACATTACAATGTGATCTTAACTAAACATCACGTCCATTCGTTTCCTGCAAAAATCAACTTTTGCTAGAGTCGCCATCTAACGGAAGTGCTTTTTTAGTGCTTTCTTTTTTTAAATACTTCCTCATTGCGTTTTTTTTTAACAAACATATTAAAAAACTGAAATTTGCAAAGTTTGAAACTTAGATATCAATATAAATACGAAAAAATGCAAATAGAAAATGAGTTGTTTATTGAGTTTTGAAAATTAATTTAATTTTATACATGAAAGAAAACCAGAAGAGTTGTCTTGGAGAAATCAAGAAAGTACCGTAGCGACATCTAGTTTAGTTTCGGGAACTAGTTTTTTTTTAAACATCCTCTTTGAATTTCAACTCGTTATCAATTCCATAACAACGCTGACAATTTTATTCTCTTTGGTTTAACGTCATGAATTGACATTTATGTAGATCCTACAATTTGTGCTGCCATCTAGTGACAATTTTTTGTAGTTTCTTTATTTTTTTAAATACTTCCCCTTTGTATTGTACCCATTGAAAATATTTTCTTTCATATGTAATCTGTGGTAACCACCATCTGTGTCAAAAAAGAAACATAGGCTCTCTATGCCGTAGTCTGTGCCAAGAAGTGAAAGCTTTTTGGTCTGTGGATTTTAGTTTATTTTGTCTATGCCCCAGTCTATTATTTTTTTGCGCCTGCGCAGTTGATGGTCTACGCGATATACATAAAATCATTTTGTGGAAATTTGAAGTTTGTTGTTATTGGTGACAAACTTTATTTTATTATCATTTATGAAAACACCGTGCTAATTGCCATTCCAAGCGCGAGGCTGGATTATTAGGTGGCTGGCGCCTTGGATGCGTTCAGTCACTATTATTCAGTACGAGCGGTGTACGGTAGCCATCTTGAATCGAACAAAGCTTCAGATGTGTAGTTTGACTGTTTATCAATCATTTTAGTGCATTTTATTGTAAATAGTTTGTATGTTTAGGATATGTACGGAACGTTCGTCCTTATGTGTAAATAGCTATGGCAGCGACAAGGAAATTACAAGGTAACTAATGATGTTATCAGGTTATAGATTGACCCCAACCAGTGTAGGTACGTGTTCTAGAGCATTATTGTCAGAATGACGAGTCCTCGTCGTATTGCTGACGATCAAGACGACCAGACTTCTAAATATACCGCAATCTTGGATGTTTCTGAATCACAACATTGTCCAAAATCAAAGGCACATTCAATGATTACTCGTTCAAACACGCTTTTATTGGATTCTAACACAATTAGTTTTGAATGAAGGTTGTTTCAAAACAAGATAATAACTGGTGCAGTTAATACAGCACTTGTTATATTCATTATTTATTTTCTCTTACTTGAATTATGTCTTGTTATTAGCACAATAAGATAATGCATAGAAGTTGTTTGTCTAGATGAATTAATGTAATTGTTTTTATTGCAGGTGAAATAGACAGGTGTTTAAAAAAAGTAACAGAGGGTGTGGAGACTTTTGAGGACATCTGGCAGAAAGTTCACAATGCAACAAACAGTAATCAAAAGGAGAAATATGAGGCGGATCTTAAGAAAGAGATTAAGAAACTTCAGAGGCTACGGGATCAAATCAAGTCCTGGATCGCCTCCGGGGAGATTAAGGATAAGAGTACACTTTTAGAATATAGGAAACTAATAGAAACAGTAAGTGTAGTAAAGATTTATTATATAAAAAAGAAACCCTCACCCCAAAAATTCACTCACATTAGTAATTTAAGGGTAAACTGGCATTATTAATCTCCAAGACTTTGCCCCTATAAGATTCCCCTATAATAGAAGTTTGAAATGTAAATTTAGAAATGTATTTTAACAGCTTCACTGAGTAAATGATTTTACACTTGCAAATGTTATCAAGCTTACATGAAAATTGAAAACTGTTGTTAAAATGATTTGACTGTTTGGGTGTTTCAACAAATTCTGAAGACAGAATAAATAACTTTTCATTTGTCCAATGCTGATTAGAATTTTATTATCTTCATATATATATTATAATCATAACTTTCTGTGCAATCACTTTAAAAATCAGATAAATGTGCATTATCAATGTAAAATTGTGTAATATTCATTATGAAATTATTTAAAGTATTATTGTGATATTACTTGACAACCAGTTGAATTTTTGTTCATCAAAGTTGTGCTTACCTTATAGGAGATTTTAAATACCTACTAACCTTAATTAGTCTGATCTAATAAATAAATTTGTCTTGATTAATTAAAATATATTTGTTCAAATTAACTAATACACAATTATTAATCCAAATACATACTAAAGCCTTTGTTTTGTGTATAATTAATAGTGGTTTGTTTTTTGTGCATTTTCATTAGTGGAATATGATTTTATTGTTTCATTAAAAATACAAACTTTATAAATATTTCAGCAAATGGAGAGGTTTAAAGTTGTTGAACGGGAGACTAAAACAAAGGCATACTCTAAGGAAGGGTTAGGGGCAGCACAAAAACTGGACCCTGCCCAGAAAGAGAGAGAAGAAATGTCGGCATGGCTAGTCTCATCTATAGACGCACTTAATTTACAGGTACGTATATTGTTTATTTGTGAATTATTATCTATTGCATAAGAAATAAATTCTAATTTGTATCATGAATAAATATATGTATCTGTTTTTTTTATCCAAATAAAACTTTTGTTGTTTTAGTATGTTATTTATGTAGTAAATTCTCCTAACTTAATTATGATCAAAAATATTAGGGCTAGGGGCACTTTTTATATCCTTATCTATAGAAATCATACAGTTGTATTTTCCTAAAGTAGGAACAACATAAGGCTGCCTCTATGTGGAAATGTAACATGTTTAAAAAGAGAGGGAAGAGTGCAGTAATCCGCATGCATAGTTAAAGACTTTTTTTTTTTAATAATAGAATCAAATCTACTTCAGTATTGAAAGTTATTTAAGTACAATAAAATATAATATCATTTTGATACTGCAATCTTCACTCTTTTACTAATTGTGTAATATTAATTTATTATATTTGAGAAAATATTCTCGGACTTCTTAGAAATGACATTTAGTATAATTTTATTAAGAAAATCTTAAATATGCAGTCTTATAAATAACAGAATCTAATCATTGTTATTGTATTCACACTAAATAATGTATTATTTATAAGGCAACATAACTATAAATTGCTACATAAAACTTTTAAGCCAATTATTTCCAGGTTGATCAATTTGAGTCTGAAATAGAGTCATTGTTAGTTGGTAAGAAAAAACGATTGGATAAGGAGAAGCAGGATCGCATGGAGGAACTTAAGCTTAAACTTGAGAAACATAGATTCCATATAAAGAAGCTTGAGACACTACTGCGCATGCTTGACAACATGTCTGTTGAGGTTGAACAGGTCAGGATTGTTTATTTATTATAATGTCTTAAGTGTTTTCTTTGATTGTGTGATAAATAGGTTATTTATGAATAGGGTTGAATCATTCATAGAGATATGTGAACTAAAATATTAAAATGAAATGAAAAACAGTATCCTTATTACACAATTGTCGGTTTGTCACAGCTAATATGAAACTTTTAGACCAACAACCAAATTATAAATATGTAATTAAAATTTTAAGTAAAATATGAATTTTAAACATGAGTGTCTATCGTCTATTTGGGAAAACAGTTATAAAACAAAACAAAAGAAGGTTACTAAATTACATCGAATTTTTATTTGGCAATAAATTAGTTTAAAATAGTCTATTATGTGAATGCTATTTTAAAAGGTACTTAGAAAACAAAATCTCTTCCTTTCCTAATTTATTATTTAATCTAATTTATTATTAATACCACATCATTATTACAAATTTTACTCCAATGACTCAGTAAATGCTTGCGAGTCAGCATCAATATGTTTGTCATCTAATAAAAGCCAAGTAAGTGAAAAAATTTGTGTAATCAGTTATTGAAAAATAGAATACAGGGCAGATTTAATAAGAATGAAGGCCATACATTACACGAAAAATAACTATTATATATATCAAAGTAGTAAGACAATAGATCAAATAATATGTCAAAGTTCAATAAAATTAACTTCGGAACATATCTTGTCTCACTTGTATAAGCAGTTGTATGGCAAGTTTTTATTGATTGTTGCTTTCTTTATTTTCCCTGCAACTTCTTAATTTAAAACCTTCCTTAGACTTCTACAAATATTTCAAAATCAAAACTTAGTAAACCAATCCACAAGTTATTAAGTTTTACTGTGATTAACAAAAATCAATGAATATATACATTATTGTATTATTCTAAAGTAAAATGACATATAATTTTTTAATTACATAGCAGATTTACCAAACAATATAGTGACTTTGTTGAGACAACCCCATCACATTATCTAAGAAGCAATTCATAATAAAATTTAATTATTTTCTTTAGAAATTCTCTCAAATCAAAACAATAAAAAAAATATTATTAATATTTCTCAAAAAAATAATCGTAGATCAAAAGGATAAAAGACGACGTGGAATACTACATTGACTCTTCCCTGGAGCCGGGGTTCGAGGAGAACGAGTACATATACGACGACATCCGCGGCTTGGACGAAATCGAGCTCAGCGGCGTCGGCCTGCCTTCCTCCGCCACCACGGACAGTAATAACAGCAATGACTCAGCCGGATCACCCACCAGTATACTATCAGGTAACATTACCATCATAATACCACTGCGAACGCGACTGATCGACATTGCAATTGTGCCGCTCTTCACTCTAGACTGGTTCACTGGCATACTCTGGCGTTAGTGTACCCAATCAAGAGTACGAAACGGCACAATTGCAACGTCGATCGGTCACGATTGAGTTCGAGAGTAAGATGCCGTGAACCGATAGGAACAATGGCATTGTCATTACTTTTATGCTGAATCCTCTTATTTGTTGTCCGTATCCATAGTGGGTATTTGTATAAAATAAATTTTTATATTTTAATTGGCCATTAGACGATCAGTCTGGAGTCAAATCAATCAACCCGTGATTACCACCTTATTCCGTAACTCTTGTGAACAACAGAATTGTTCATAGATCTCTGCGGGCAAGCTGTCATATGAATTAGTGATTTTGACAGAGAAATTGTTCATTTTTTACAGTGATCATGACTTAAAGCTATCAGTTGTGTTAGTGAATAGGCCTGCAGATTGATGTCAGATTGATTATGTAATGTGTATTTATTGATTGGTTGTATAATTCCACATTGAAACACGTTTGATTTTTGTCATCAATTTGCAACTTTGATCTGGTTATGGTTTTAGATTTATTATCTAATGGCTGGTTGAATAATCGTTTGAGTATTGCATATTTAGCTGAGACAAACGGCTTAAGGTGTATTCGGAAGCACGTAAATAAATTTTCGGTCACTCATCCGAAAGTTGTTTGACCGGCGTAATAGTAGAGGTGTATGCTGCGCTTATTTCGTATGTTTCAGAAAAAATGGAACTCTTGCAAGATCACTTATTTGTCTGTCTGTAGCCTCGAACAAACTACTGAACAAATAACATAAATAAATAAAATACAAACATGAAGTCCACTTTTTACTTCATAACAGCTAAAATTTTATAATATATATGAAAAAGTTCTTTAGCTGTATAGAGATTACAAGAAAATCAATGACGCATATGATTTAAAATTTAACACTTGTATGAAACATGCAGTGCACGTCAGACTCACATATTTCACTGCTAGATAGGATTTTCTTGCAATATAAAAATCCTCCATGTGAATAGACATTTTCTGTCTTATCTTTGTTGATTAGTAGTTTGCACTACTATATAGAAAAGTAGAAATAATATTTTAGAGCGCTATTATGTTGTTTTAGGTACAAGTCCTGTGACGTCGCCCACGTTAGAGGCTCACAACCACTCTACAGACTCTATAGACATAGAGAAAAAGAAAAAAGAAGAGGTCATAGCGAAAGTGAGTACCGACACACACATGCGGTCACCATCATTACACCTCGCCATCGATAACTTCAGTTTATTATGACTAGTAGTTATGTGGAGTGTTGATGTGGATATTTTCTAAATTATTCTCTAATCATTTATTAATTTTAGGTTTGATTCGGTACAGGTTTATTTTAACGTTTCTGTGTTTCTCGAACCTCTGCTATGAAATCAATATATAATCAATACTAAAAGAGTATAAGTCTTTTAGAATTCCTCATTCATCATATTACTTTATCAAGTCTTAATATGTTCTGTAATTACAAAACATTATTTAAAGAATTTCTGAAAAAATATATTGTTCAATAAAGACTATACGTAGCAATTTCAGTGGCAAATTCACCCATCTCTGTTTAAATAATTAATACCGTTCAATCTACATAAGATTCTGTACTACATACTGTTCTGGGTAGATAACATCTCAGTCATAAACCGATCTATTGAATAAACCTAAAATTAATGTTTTTAAAGAAAAATTTAAGAGACATTGAGTAGTAAAGTGATGTTTGTATACTTTGCAGCCGGTCAAACCGATGCCGCTACGGGCGGTGACCGCGGGCGCGGCCGCTAATGTCGCGCCTAACGTTAGTTCCTTGCTCAATAACTCCGCCGCATCCACCAATAGGTCAGTCCACTCTGACACTGTACTTGTCACATTTGCATATGCTACACACCGCTCTAACTCCTCACTACTCCGCTACACTCAACCTTTATACATGCACGCACATGTTCCGTTTAAGGTGAACGTCCATTGTGTCCGCATGTACGCAACAGATTGTTTTTGCGGATGCTATACGGCTACTGCATCTGGATTTTTAAAAGAACATTTTCATAGTTTTGTTATAACGTTGCGATGTATTAATCACACGCAAGCTGGTAAAAACTTTTTTTTTTACAAAAATAAATTTAGTATGCCATTTAATAGAAAATTTAAAAGTCCACTATTTGCTCAACCAGTTCAAATAGTGGATGGAGTGCCAAATAATTCATAAAAAGCCGCGGAAAGTTCGTTGCTTGCGTGCAGACACAGTAGTCGTTCATCTATATACTTTATATTGCTTATTAGTAGTAAAACGCAACTAATATGTCTCACCTCATGAAGGTACACTTCATAGAAAGCTCGAAACACGGCAAATTCCAGCCAATTTCATGCACTAAATTTAATGCCATAGCATAATCGTATAGTTAGTTTTCGATCTTGCATATTTTGCCAATTTTAATAGTAACTGATATTTGTAATAACTGCACTTGTATTTAATAGGAACGGATTTCCATTTGTAAGGATCTGTGACCAAATCATTAAGAAAAGCAAAGTTATTATAATTTGTCAATTTTGCGTTTACAATGCTATACTAGAAAATTTTCTTAATGAAAAATGTTAAAATAATCCACTTTGTCCCTAGTACATCTGAATCCCATCTCAGAGTACCGAGGACAAAGTGGATTAAGCATTAAGCATTTGAACTACAATTAATTCATGAAGTAAATATGTACATAATAATAACAATTTTAAACTACAAAAAACCCTAAAATACAATGTTATGTATTTATTAGAAATAAACCTTATTTTTTCGGTATCAAAAAATATCAGTGACAAAGAAGTGATATAATTACAATTATCAGATGAAACTCATTACAATCGCGTAATTTGTTTTTAAATCTAAGGAAATGAAATATGCATGCGCCAATTTAAGTAAATCTTAATTTACAGCCATCATTAAAGACATACTTTAAAAGCAAATCATTAATAAAAAACAAACTATTCACAGCCAATATTGAAAGCATACTTAGTGTCATCCATTGCACTGTTTCATATCTATCATTTATATCTCAAGTATTTGCAGTTATTAAAAATGTTACATTTATTTATAACTCACATATTTCATTTCTATTACGAGATTTGCCGCTTTATTCGCCAAATATATTAAGGTTGTATGATAAAATTTATGTTTTAGGGCTTTGGTTTTTGATCTTTTTTTTACCTAATTATTTATGAGACATCGTAGTTGACTATTTATAAAGCGAGAGATCAGTTTTGCTAAGTCTTAGGCGTTACCATTTCTAAGGTTCTAAGAATAAGAAAAGAATAGCGTTCTAAGGTTCTAAGAATTTGAATGTCGAAATTTTTGAGGGACAAAATACAATTATTGAACTACACCATTTCGTAAATAAAAGCAGACGCGAAAACGACATTTCGTCTGTTTTCGGAACGCTAACACGACTCTGAAAAAACCCATATTTTGATAATCTATGATGCAACAGAGGAAGAACCCGACATTGCCTCTGATGCACTGATAATCTTCACGGATATGATTTTAAAAGTTATATAAGAACGATAATAAATTTTCTTTAGTGGCTAGACAGCGGAATTGAGGTTTAGGTCATTCGCCGAGAGTAAATGGGGCGGTGCGATATAGTGCGTGGGTGTTGATTATATCGCTGTATTACAGCATAAGCGCGGGAGCGGTGTCTGGCACCTCGACGCCCAACAAGAGCGTGGCGCCGCCCAGCCCCCCGCACGTGCCGCACGCGCAGCACGCACCGCACGCGCAGCACGCGCCGCACGCGCCCGCGCCGCACCACGCGCACGTGACGCACGCCGCGCAGCACGCGCACGCGCCGCACCAGCCGCGGCCTAGCGCAGGTCAGTATATATACACCAGGGAATTAGGCTTGTTTTACCACTTGCTGATAATGTTCCAGATAGTTATCTCATATGTAACGCTATCTGTCACATATATTATTAAAAAATATTTTTAAATTGATTTAAAAAAAATGTCACATTAATTTTGCGCCACATAGTATAGCTATATGAGACTTGTGAAACCAAAATTTGCAATTTACCTGTCAGATAAGTTTCTGAGAGGCTACCAGAGACATTATCAGCGAGTGGTGAAACTGGCCCTTGACGATGCAAGGATTATAAAAATATAGATGACGACGTATATCGGTTTCGTTCGTTATCGATATATTGTTTAACGAAACATCTTGTTTGTAAAAATTTTATATAAATAAAATTATTTTTTACCAAAATATATTCTTTGCCAAATATCACATTGCCACTTTAAATAGATTAGGATATAATCTGTTGCCATGTCTCAAGTACATAACAATTTTTAAACTGTATGGTGTTTAAAAAACAGTAACTTGAAATATGTTCTTTCTTAAACACATGATTACACACAAACCCATAAATATGTGTTCATAAGTTTTGAGACAAACTTTTTACTGAAAAAATAAAATAAAATGTTACTGGCCAGTAATTTTTTTTTTACTGATTTTGAATTTGAAATGTGTTTATATTTTTTCGTGATGGAGGGAACGAAACAATTACGTGCAATTGTCATTTCGCTATTTAAGGCGGGAAAAAAACCGATGCAGATTTTCCGCGAGCTGAACAGTTTTCCTGTCATAACTTCGTCTATTACACAATACAGCGGTACAAGTTCTCTACAACATCGCCATAGGAGGACGCCTGCGAACATCAAAATCATCCGAGAGCAACTTCACCGATATCCATGTCACGCTCAGAAGAAACTCGCTCTGCAGACTAATATTTCGGCGCCATCTCTTAGGCAAAAAGAACCCATGCTTGATTGAGGGAGAATGTTCCGGTGCCTTCATCGCGGCGGACGAGTGGACCTCCTCCAGCCCCGACCTCCACCAGCTGGATTATTCTTTATGGAATGGATTAGAGCTCAAGGCCTGCCGAAAGTACCACCCAAACTTGTCACTGTAGCGAACCTTTGTTCGAGAAGCAAAGTAAATTCCGCTAGTCAAATCGTCTTAAGGGTCTGTATTAAAAACAAGGGCTGTTATTTTGAATAAAATATATGTTTTATTGTTGATTATTATCTATTTAATGGTTATTGCATTATTTTTTTTAAATAAGTTAATAATTAAATAAGTTACGCAAATTTTATTTCGTCTCTTTAATTTATGAACACACCAGGTGTAATAGTTCAGAATTTTAAAACTGTTACTTCACAAAAATTGCAAAAGTCAATCCAATTGTATAACCACTAAACTCAAACGTAACCAACACGTAACCGTAAAATATGTGAATGTTTACCACATTCACTGTGGTAAATGATGTCAACCAGTACAAAATTTTACCCCTACATTTATAAATTGTCACTGTCTGTATTTTTCATTGTTAAATTATCAACTGTAACATGTATCATATAAAATGTAATTCATAAAAAAAGAAGAAACACTTGAAAACACGTAATAAAACCGTAATCGATAAATCCTCGAAGTCAATAATCTAACCATACTAATAATTGAAATATTAAGCCGCCGTTGACGCACAGATAACGTACGACGGCTTGTTTACAAAATAAACAACGCTTATCACCATAAGAATGGAGTCTACATTCGGCAGCGCGCAACACAGTAGCGATTAGAAAAAGTTACCGCTTTGGCGCGATTCCAAACTCCCGTACTAACGTCCTAAACTGGCTCGGAGCCAAAGCGATGACACGACGTGTTTTATTCAGTCGCCTGGCTGTATCGGCAGTGACCTGCGCCCAAAATATTAAAAAAAGAAAATATATTCGAGGAAAAAAAAAAGGAATAATGTTTTCCCTCGCTAATGCCGGATAAAATATGGACGATGGTAAAAGCGCGTTCTGCTAGTGTATGTGCATGTGTTTTTCTGGAGTTTTCTCACGTGGGATTGTTGGATACGATGCGGTGCGTTGTTGCGTAGTTCGATGTATTCATATGCATTTCTCACACTAAGTTCAATGTTAGTTATGTAACTGACATTTGGAAAACATACGTTCTGTGTTGACACATTATAGTTACGTGGAAAGAAAACGTTTATAGTTTGTTTTCGTTTCGGTTTGTGTCACGTGACGTGTGACGTTTTTTTGTGTTGAGCATTCACTAACAAAGAGTTTTTATTTTGAATCTATTCTTAACGGAAATATTACATATGCCTAGTTCTCGATAGCCAAGACAATAAATTATACATGTACTGTATTTTTTTTTTAAATTAACGGCACTTTGAACTTATTTGTTTTCGTGTGACTTACGTCTTAGTACACTTGTCACAAGTGTTACAATTTGTTGTTTCTATTTCCATCTAATGAGTATTTAGATTCGAAATAATTCAGTCAATATTCAAAATAATTATTACTGTCCTTATTTATAGTAAGAAAATAGAAAGCTATGCTTATAGATATAAAATTTAAATTTAAGCATCAACAACTGCATTTTATAAGTATAGTCAGTCTGACGTCTTTATTATACGCTGTCTCAGTTGACGGCATACTTGCGTCCGTTGATTCATCGCGATACGATCCAATGACAGTGAGCGTTTTAAAAAAATGGGAACTAGGTCGTGAATCATCTTTGCTAAATAAATAATTAACGAATTTGAAACTTAATGCTTTGGACTATTCATAGAATGGGGGTTTGTCTTAAAAGGTAATAGTGGATATTGTAGTAAGGTTGATGGTTAGACATTCGTTACTTGATCATGACTAGGATATAATATATTCGGGTGAAATCTACGAAGGCAACGCCGATAATTAAAAAGAAAAAGAAGAATATATTAGTCATATTTTAATATTCAATTATGGAATTTATTTTGCGGCTTACGTTACGAACTACGAGTTATTCGCATGCCAGTTTCAATCTCTGTAATCCCAAATTCGAATGCCAGACGGGTCTATGTAGAAAATAATTTTTCTACATTGTTTCGGATTTGTGTATTTTGTCCGTCGTTTCTTTTATCCTTAAAACAAGTGTTTAGCTACTAAATTTCTAACTTTGCTATGTATGTGATATCGTGTAATATATTTATTTACGTATTTTGTTCACAGAAGTAGTGGAGAATGGTCCCGTGTCGAGCGCGCCCGCGCACACGACGACGCATCTACCGCCAGTAGCGCAACCACCGCCTGTGAGTCACTTAAACTATATATCCCCTCCCCTCACCCTCTCTTTCTCTCTGATTTATATTATCTATTAAATAACACAAATTGATAATGTTGCTATTCTATTTTAAAATTAATATGCATTCGTTAAAATGGATTTATTACTTTTATCTTAATGTGGTCACTATTTGTGTTAAATAATTATAATGAAAAAAAAAAGATCTAAAATGAATTAAATATGTATGCTAAATCATAGTGGAACAGTAAGTAGAACAGAATAATGTATAAGAATATAAAAGGAAATTAATGCAGTATCTCATTGAGTCCGGCAATTCTCTTGGCTACAAAGTGACTTACGGTCATTTGCACAAATGTCCATTAAAGGTTTAATGACGCCTTTAAGCTCTAATGAATGTCAATCTTGTATCGGTAATGTCGTTTTAAACTATTGATATTTTTAATGGCCGTTATTGTAACATATTCATAAATTTTCCTTATAAATAGGGGTGTAATTACAATAAGATATGGGTGGCTGTTAATTCGTACGAACAGTAGGGATGGTAAATGTATATATGTACGTGTGTGCAGGTGGTGAAGAGTGCGTCAGTACCGCTGGGGAGCGCGAGTGCGGGGGCGGGGGCGGGCGCGGGGGTGGGGGCGGGCGGAGGCTCCGAACGCGCGTCGCCGCTCACGCTCAACGGACCCACCTCGCACCATGCGCTCAACAAGTCAGTACATTATCAACATTTGCTTGCACTTTACCTCTATTCTATATATATTAGAATATTACTTAAACACTGCGTACTGTAATAATAGGCGTATACATTATAGACAGTAAAGAAGGGTCAACAATCTCGGAAAATATATTAGAACCACATTCTCTGCACTAAACAAAGAAACAACCACTCAATAAAGATAATAAAACATGAAAGTAAATGATTAAAAAACAATTTCAATATCTGCAAACACTGTGCTATGTTAATGGAAGAGCCGGATCTCCCGATACAATCAAATTTTTTTAACACTGACTTGAAAAATTTATTGCCTCTGAACCATAGCAAAGCTCCCAATTGCGCGGGTCCCGTAACGTTTGCTACGTTGCTAATTCGGCCTTGGTGGCTTGGGCAGCCGGTACTTATGTCATCATCATCATCATCAGCCCTTTTATGTCCCCACTGCAGGGGCTCAGGCTTTCCTTATGGATGGTTAAGCAGGATGTGCCATGACCCTCCACGCTGGCCCAATACGGATCGGAGGGTATTAACGACTGAAAATGCAGCCGGGACCAACGGCTTAACGTGCCTTCCGAAGCACGGTAATATTTTTTTGCTCGAGATAATATTTTTTTGGTCACCCATCCCGTGACTGACCCTTGCGAAAGTTGCTTAACGACAACGATCGCGGGTCGCGGTGCATATCCACTACGCCACCGAGCTACTTAGGTACTTATGTAAAGAGAAAATTAATACGAATGTTTTCTTTCCGGTGGTTATGCAGTGGGCGAGCGAGTGAAGCGTCACAGTTGAGCTGTGCGACGAGCGTGAGCAGTACAGGCGCGGCGGCGGCGGCGGCTGCGGCGGCGGCGAGTGGCACCGCCTCGCTCAAGGCCATCGCGCAGGAGGCCGTGCACCGCGCCGGCCTCGACCACCACCAGGTAACCACATACAGTACATCTACCACCACACACAGTACTCGCTCAAGGCCATCGCGCAGGAGGCCGTGCACCGCGCCGGCCTCGACCACCACCAGGTAACCACATACAGTACATCTACCACCACACACAGTACTCGCTCAAGGCCATCGCGCAGGAGGCCGTGCACCGCGCCGGCCTCGACCACCACCAGGTAACCACATACAGTACATCTACCACCACACACAGTACTCGCTCAAGGCCATCGCGCAGGAGGCCGTGCACCGCGCCGGCCTCGACCACCACCAGGTAACCACATACAGTACATCTACCACCACACACAGTACTCGCTCAAGGCCATCGCGCAGGAGGCCGTGCACCGCGCCGGCCTCGACCACCACCAGGTAACCACATACAGTACACTCACAACCACCACCACCACCCACAGTACTCGCTCGAGGCCATCGCGCAGGAGGCCGTGCACCGCGCCGGCCTCGACCACCACCAGGTAACCACATACAGTACACTCACAACCACCACCACAAACAAAGTGATTAACGGTGAATAAAAGATACCGGCCTTATTCGTGTACAGTCAGCGTCATAATAAGCTACTTGACAGTTGTATAATAAATTATGAAATATATTTGAAAAGGTTATATAATATGTAAACTATAGTATTTTTGTTGAAAAATAAATTGTAAGCATATTTTATTTTAGCAAAATGAACTTGACATTTATAATCTGTGGAATACAAGAACGCAAACGAGGACATCCATGACGAAGCATATGACGTCACATTTTAATAAAATAAAAATATATTTTTCCTTTATAACACTTTTTAGAGAAAAATAAATGTGATAGTGTTTTAATATGAAAGTTTTAAAATAGTTTTCCTACACAGTCACGTAGACAATTTGCAAAGTTGCCTAAATAAAATCGAATTTCAGTACTTGATAAGTTTTCGATCACATTTGGTTGATTAGGGCTATGACGCTGACGCCGACGCTGACTGTGGTACTTTAACGTCGCAAAAAAAAAAAAACATTCACACCTTGCGATTGTTTTTATTATAAACAGTGTATGCAATATTATTCGAGGTGTTTATGAATATACTTTTCGTTGCGAATATCCTTGAATATTGTAGAAAATAAACAATGCCCTGTCCATTTCGGACTGTTACCTTTTACTTGTAATAATGTAGATAGTAAAAATTCTCTAAAACTTATTTCAGAATGTTCGAAGAGGTGTACCACTAGCACAAGCGCATATACCGCCGTTATTAGGCGTCGCGCCGTTAGGACCCTTGCCATTAAATTCCGTAAGTATTGATATATTTCAGTATTAAGTATTTATATATAAACTATTCAAGACAGTTTATTGGCAAAATAAATTACATTAACACTAGAACGACGGACGGGGGTCATTTGATCCATTATGAAGTTTAGTGTTGTATCATTTCTTAAGTATAAAACATATGAGTATATACTTTAGAAATTATATTCAGAATAATTTCTAAAGTATATTCACAAACTCATGTTTGTGACGGGTTTGTAGCTTAAGCTAATGAATAAAAGGTTGACTAAGCTTTAAAATTTGATTTATTTGAGGTTAAAAGAAAAAAACTGTAACAAACAAAAAAATTAATGTTTAAACAGTTCGTATGATTACCAAAATATATAATTACAATTGTTAAATATAACCAATACATACCCAGTTTCTGGATTTTTCGTATAATATATTTCATGATGATATACTTTTAAATTTACATTTTCTTATTTAAATTATAATAACTTTATTGTTATTAAATTATAATAAATTTATATGATTAAATTATCATGTTCACACCAAATAATTTTTTTATGAACTGACACTCATAAAGAGCATATTGGATAACTCAAAATTTGAAATAAACAGTCGGTGGTACGACGCACCGTTACAAGGTTAATAACATTTTTTTAGTCCTCAAACATTACCTACAAAGGCGGCACTGGGTCTTTCGATCCATGATTCATTAGTTGCCTCATAATACTCTTATATTTATTTTATTGTTATGCTGGCGTGGTCGTTACATGTCATACGTGTCGACTTATTTGATGTCAAATCTGATGCTTTCGTTGTGTGAACAGTGTCCTTTTTATTTTACTATGCCTCGACTCTGTCTCTCTTTGTGTCTTGAAAGTCAAATATTATTAGGTTTACAATTTTTACCGGAAGACTCAATCAGATGGTAAAGGTGAAAATGAAGAAATTCAAATAGATTTTGTAGAAAAGGGAAATATGCCAGCTTCAGGTATCAGGTTGCAATGGTGTGTTATTTGTCAAGCGGAACAAATAATACAGTTTATACATAAAGGTATTTTATATATAATATAGAGAATGTGCTTTGTCACACAAACTCAGTGCAGATTAGATGATTTTATTTTCTGATTTTGCTAAAGAAATAATGACACATTTAATGTTATATTTTTCATAGGAATACACATGTATTTATCATATAATATTGATTATTTACAGGAACATCAGCTACAATTCCAAATGATGGAGGCGTCATTTTACCACATGCCGCATCCGTCCGACTCGGAAAGGACGCGCGTCTACCTGCCCCGGAATATATGTCAGACGCCTGTCTACTATAACCAGGTCAGTCGTACGTAACACTCGACAACTCACAAACAGTAAACCTAATACTACAGCCACATTCGATGAAGAATTTTTACTAACAAAGCGTTGCTTAGCAACCAGTGACAGGCAGATTTTAATGACGCCTTTAGGCTATAATGAATGTCAAGTTTGTATGGGTAATGTCGCTTTTAACTTATGAAAATTTAATGGACGTTTATGCAACTGACTGAAAACTAGACAACATTTTTTTTTTCGATTTCGAGGTATTACTACTTTATGAAATGTTGTAATAGATTTCAGCAATAATTGAATTGTTTAGTAATGTTTTGAAAATTATCTAATCTTTGTAATTTAATGTGAAAAACCAATTATTTTATTTAGAAATATACTAATACTTCATAAACTTGGGATTAGTACATAATGTAAACAATTCCGAATGCTATAAATGCTATAGACACATTGTATAAAAAAATATCTACGGAAATAAAAAAAATCTTTTTTTCTTTTTAAACAGTAGAAAGGAACACCGAACTTTCACACGGGGTTGCCTTATATTATGCGATCGATTTAAAATGTAGTCATTCTAAATGATCATCATCAGCCCTTTTACGTCCCTACTGCAGGGGCTCAGGCCTTCCTTATGGATGGTTAAGGAGGATGGGCTATGACCCTCGATGCTGGCCCAATGCGGATTGGAGGGTATTAACGACTGCAAAAGCAGCCAGGACCAACGGCTTAACGAGCCTTTCGAAGCACGGAGTAGCTCGAGATAATAATTTTTTGGTCACCCATCCATGTGACCGACCCTTGCGAAAGTTGTTTAACAACAACGATCGCGGGCCGCGGCGCTTATCCACTACGCCACCGAGCAACTCTTAAAAATAATCATGTTTTATAATATTTGAAAACTTTCTGAAGTTAATTTAGAACTGCAATCATGTTTCTTGTATCTGAATTCTATAAGTTACAGGGATGTGAAGTAAAAATAATTTCAGCTTTACTACTATTTTCCAGTTTTTTTGTCAAAATATTGAAGTTTTATGGTTGTTTCTGGTAATTAATAGCAGTAAAAAATATTACTCGTAAAATTACGAAGTAATGTGTAGATTCTACACATCCTAGTATCCTGGTGAGAAATACGAGTTTTCTTTTTTTTTTGTTATCTAAGTTGTGATGACCCTAATTTTCTTTTTTTCATTTTTTCATCTAATTTGGCTGGAGTATTCCTGTATCTATACTAATATTATAAAAAGAAAAATTGTATTTTTTGTGTGTTTGTTTGTTAAGCAATTGGCTACAGTGATATTTGTACTTGTTAGCATCCACCAATCCATACTGGGCTCATATAAATATTGTCCACTTTCTGGTAAATCAGAAAGAAAGAAAGAAAGAAAAATCATTTATTAAACACACACACATGCAATTTTGCAAAAGACATTAATAAATTATTATTAACTTATAGAGTGCATCCGATGTGGTGTCTAAAAGGTGCCAACTCGACATGTGCTGCAGTTAACTGCAGCGTCGCTTTTCAGTTGGCCCCCTTAGGTGGTGTGGTGACGCCCCGCTGGGCCAAATCAAAATAAAAAGAAAACAAAAACAGTGCTAATCATAAGTACCCAATTAATAAACATACAATACCACACACATAGTATCATAATATACACTTACATATACATAAATAATATATAAAAAAAAAAGAAATATATATAATGTACCTCAATACGAACACACATCAAATATACCATAAATATAAGTATACCCATCTGCCTTCACAAGGGCGAAATCTTTTTCACCAAAATTTTAATTTCTCCACTTCATTTAAGGGTCTCAAACATGTTATATTTGTACACAGGTGACTGAGTATTATTATGCCATAAGTTTATTTATATATGTCAGTATTTAAATCATTTAAGTCGATATGTATAACAATGAATTCCAATTAATACCAATAGAAATTAAAATATTATTTATTAATTATAGGAATGTAGTAATAATAGAGGAAAACAATTATGATTATTAATTCTGCTATGAATTCCGATTTCTAATAGTAAAAATAATAATGCAACATTTAATAATTAATTTCAGGGAAGTAAAAGGTGGTCAGGAATATTAGTGAGTCAGGGAAAAATTCAGATCAACTCTAAAGCGAGGGAAAAATTATTTAAGATCTTTGTGTTTTTTTTATTATTACAATGATTTTAAACCTTGCATATTGATCATAAATGTTTGTTTAATGTGTACGAAATATATTCAATTCAAAATGTGTTTACGACTTGTCTTTTTTAATTTGGATTCTAATCTGTTATACCAAACATTGAATGTCATTATCAAGCTTGAAAGATATTGATTGATGAAATCTATGCTCCGACCAATGACTGCACAAATCCAAAACCAGTGAGGCAACGCCTACTTTTTGTTTTAATTTTCGTTTCTTCTCGTCACGAGAAAAAGATTTCTCGTTGATTCCAAATCGGATAGAAAGCGTTCGTGACGATACTAAAAATCGTCCAAATTACCTCAGTGTCTCTAGACAACAATTTTCAACCAGTGTGTGTTTCCATGATGACTTACGCAAGTGAAACGTGGTCGTTCACTATGGGTATTATTATCAAGCAGGCTCCAGGTCACCCATTGGTGAATGGAGAGAGTAATGTATAGTGTTTCTTCACCAGCGTTACTGATATTGCACTAAGAATTGCTTAGCTAAAGTGGTAGTGGGTGGGTGACACCGATGGCCGATGGAAAGGTTAGAATCTCCTCCTTTTCAATTACTCTTCTTTTTCTTCTCGTACACTCGAACTCGGAAAGGTCGTGGTTATGGATCGTCTGGTTGGTTTGTTGCGACTTTTGCGAGACTTCTCCAACAATCTCTATTGTAGCACTACGCGTGTACTGTACACTCAGTAATACGCTTCCTTGTATCATCAAACGTTCCAATGAGCTCTCGTTACCAGTAATATGAACAAACATTTTAAGAATTCACATTTGTACAATCGAATAGTCTTTCTTTGATATGTAGACGTTAGTGTGGTGAGCTGTTCATTTTATTCTCAACGTACTCCTTCAACTCCACATCTCGGTATATTTTCATTAGCTCACACTCGTAATTATCACTAATGTTTCGGCTTTGTACAAGAACGGAAACACTAGAAATTTCATTAAGCGAACCTTTGTGTTTTTGTTATGCGGCAATATTTCCAAATATTTGTGAAAAGATTTCCTTAAATCCACAAAGTAAATAAACAGCGGTTTCTTGAATTAACATGCTTTTTCTATGATCTCTCTTAGGTTAATAATCTGCGCGTGTACCTTCCCTTGACAAGACCAGACAGCGCTTGAACAATTTTACGGTCGATATGTGCCTGTAACCTCACATTCAGATTCACCTTGTCAGCTTTATTAGGCGGAAATTATTAGAATATTAGTTGAGCCATTTTGTCAACCGGGATGAATAAGGAATACGACCAGTCGTTCGGCCATTCACCCGTATTCCATATTTGCATATAGATGGAGTGTAATAATATATGGATAAAAACATCTATTAAATTAAATATATCTATGGAAATTTTATCCGCACCTGTAAGTGATGAATTATCAGATTCAAGAGTCAATGGTCTTGGTTGTTCCAAAACAAGGATCTACAGTACTCCTTCCACACCTTAACAATCCGAATAATTTCTGTGACAGTATTCAAAGTAGAGTTCTCCATTGCCCAGGTCTTTGGCTTGAATTGGCTAGTAAGAGTTCTTATTTTCATATGGAGGTTCCTTATCTCAAATTTCTGAGCGTACTTTTTCAGTTCTTTTCATGTAGCTTGAAGCTCCATATTACATTCCATCCTACAAGCGGTTTGTAGTCCAGAACTAAACAGGTTTAGTGGCTTAATACGATTTATTTTTCGACGCTTTTCTACGAGACGCCAAATGTTATTAGTTGTCCAGTGCTGTATTCAGTATTCAGTTTAGACTGGTAGAATTCGTCTTGATTTTAATAGTTGTTTTGGTTAATGAGGAAGTATTAAAAAAAGAAATAGTTCCCGAAATCAAAAGTAGTGTTCATATTTATTACAAAAAATAAACTTGCCGTAAAACGGAAATTTTCAGAAAAAATTTTGTCTTCTGAAAATTTTCACATTTACATTTTACTTTTAAAATGTTTTAACTTTGGTTTAACACTTGACATTATTGGTCAGGGAAAGTCGGGTTTTTTTATGACATTTAGAGTGGGACATTTAGTTTAGAACCCTGATAGTGGATTATAGCCTATTCTGCTCAAGTGATACTATATAATCAAATCGGGACATTATTAGTCTTAATGGTTATGATAATAGTCTAATGCATTCCAGGTGCTCCTCCCTCACTCGGACAGTGTGGAGTTCTTCCAGCGCTTGTCGACTGAAACACTATTCTTTGTGTTCTACTATATGGAAGGCACAAAGGCACAGTATTTAGCCGCCAAGGCTCTTAAGAAGCAGAGTTGGAGGTTCCACACCAAATATATGATGTGGTTCCAGAGGCATGAGGAGCCTAAGGTTATCAATGAAGAATTTGAACAGGTATAAATTTGTTGATTACAACACTATTATAAATATAGATACAGTTCTCTACCCATAATAGATCATAATATCTTTAGACATAATGCCGCGATCGCACATTTGCCACTTCTAGAAACTCCAAACCTCTAGAAACGTTGACTTGATTTAGGGAATCAAACATCGCCATCCACACGCTTGCGAGTGAGTTAGTGTGTTCTGGTATAACGGACGTGATGGTATTGAGGTCATATCGGCCATGACATTTGGATTAAGTTATTTTTATTATTAAAAAAAGAAAATAAGCGAATGAAAGCGAAAAATATTAAAATGCATGGTTCTGCCTGGTAAAGTTCCAGAAATTTTAAAACATCTTCACTTGACCGGTCACTCATGTTTTTAGACAATACAAGCGTACATTTGCTCACCACCAGTACACAAATGAGACTGAATACGCGCAAACGTGTGGACGCGGCATAATATTACATGGCATAGTTTTGTATTCCATTAGTCCTAGTTGTATTTGAGCATAATATCCTAAAGTATAAATTTTAATACTTTATATGGCTCTTGCATGCAAACCTCATTCATTCGCTTGGCTCTTTTTTCTCTTTTGTTACCTAACCGATGGATATATTCTCGTGTCTATAATGTTCCACATTGTGCAAATCAAATATTCGATTAACAAATTTTGTAAAGAAATATACAAAAAAAAACAATATAATCCACAAATAAATGAGGATTATTATGCAAATGCTAATAATAAGGAAGGAATTCTGACCATTTCTAATGTCTACTAAATCAAAGTCATTATAGTTACGGTAGATCTGCAGATCTGGTTAGTTATCATACCTTTACTGTCTCAGATTTCCATAACACAAGGACATTGCTTACTTAACTACGAATCTCAGTTATATATGTAAATATTAAGAGGTTTAATATACATTATTTTACAACAAAAAAAAAATCTCATCTCCAGGGCACATATATATACTTCGATTACGAGAAATGGGGTCAACGCAAAAAGGAGGGGTTCACGTTCGAGTACAAGTACTTAGAGGACCGCGACTTGAACTGAACTGAGAACCTCACGCCGCCGCGCCTCCACCGAGGCAGCGACCACTCCACACACGATGCCATCACACCCGCGGCCCGATCTGTGCCCGCCACGGAACATTTGCAAGATCGACTCCCGGTTGAAGTTAACAGCATGTGTTGTTCGGTTATCGTTCAGCACGATCTAGTACCAGTTCCGCGAGTGATTCAAAGTGTATTTAATCTCGAAGTGTTAATTGTGCACAAACCGTCGTCGGAAGATCTGAACTAGCAGTGGAGATTATATATTTTTTTATATATACGCTCGCATATTGTTGAGAGGCTGATCTGTGTAAAAATGAAAAGAAAAATATTTTTATTATATAATTTAAGTGATACGGCAGATTGAAATCGGAAATCGAAAGGAAATATGAACAGAGAGCGTGTTTAGATTTGCAGTAAATTAACCCTCGTTGTTGAGTTTGTATGTAATGTTGCAGCATATTATAGTTACTCGGGTAAGTACAACTGTGTAGTGTAGTGATGACTTACACACCCTTTCGAATGTACCGACGTCGAACACTGTACATCTCTTAGTTGTTATAATTGATAAAACCAATGTGATATTGATATAAAGCGGGGAGGCCCGGGTATTCCCGTTCCTTGGTGCCTTTTGGCCCCACGGAGGCTGTCCCCACCCATCTACACCAATATACCGTGTCACTGCCCGTGTCATCCCAAATCTACTGTTTTTTTTAACGACTATTCTCAATAATTTGAATATTATCATAGGTGATACTCCAGTATAAAGGTTTTAATTTGTATTAATAAGTTATTAGATCATTCCAAAATGTAATCTGACTACCAACAATATATATTGAAGTGACTACAGCTTATCTTATTGGCAAAATTCTATTCTCATTCAGTTTTAAATATTTATTAATTTATTGTTTGTTAAAAAAAAACTTGTAATGTTACTCAAGATAAAAATCATAAAATTATGTCAAATAAACCCCAAAAAAATGATCAAGCATCATAGTTTAAACTGTCAGAAAGTATGTATAGTATTCACTAAAGACTTCTATGTATACAATTTCTCATTCATAATGCATTAAGTAATGTGTTTCTTATCTAAAAATTTTACTGGGTAAATCCGTGTAGAATGTAATTGGTAATTCAAAATCTCGTTAAATATATTTATAATAGGTCACCTATGTGAAATTGGCAAAATTGTTGTTGATGCGAAGTAGCCATTCAAAAGACAAGAAAACGGTCCTTTGACCATATCTTGTCGTGTTACTGTTCAGTACCGCTCTACCTGTCTAGTACTACACAGAAGTCTAATATTCATAAATACATTAACAAATTCATCATACATTTATTTTTCATATTGAAAATTGCCTAATAATTTCTGAAGTAGCTTTCATTATGTAGAGTATATTATTATGTCAAGTAACTATATTAAAAGAGCTATATTACAGACTTATTGAGAATAGTTATTAGTTTCAAGGCTTTGATTGTATTATGATTGCAAGTCAAATAGGGAAATGCTACTGTATTTGATATCTTTAATCAAATTCTGTTGAAAGTATTTCTAGTAATAGAATCTTAAACAAGTAATTGGTTCAGATAAAGTATGAATATTATTGTCATTCCTACCTTAAGGTATAAAATTCTGTCTATCTACCGTAATCTAATGTTTAAAATATCAGACAAGGCATTTCTTTTTTCATTTATTAATCTAAGTTGACTTGAACATGGTAAAAACGAAATTTGAGTTGTTTGCTGTGTAGTTCCTAACACGAGGTAAATGCTGCTGTACAGCAATTATGATGTACAGTTTCATACAATCTTTGACTTCGTACTAAATTATGTTACATAAACTAAAATCTAATCGAAGATAAGTGATTATTGATTGTATTAGGCATAATGTTCAACATCACAGGGTGACACGTGTAGCAGTGACGTTGGGCGGACGAGACGCGAGCGATACATTGATCACACCCCCTGGAGCCATCCTTCGTTAACGCCCGGTTCCATTATTTGTTACGACTCGTTTGCTTTCCTCTAAGCGTGAATCGAAACTTTTCAAATCGGGGTATGACAAACCTGACAAAAAAACTGAACTATTGTTAGATTTCATTTTATATAACTTTTAAATTATACTCTATAGTCAATTTCAATACAACGATCACATAACGACCGATTTTGATCATTGACATAAAAATTAGGACAGTGAATGTATACTAAATGAACACTTATCTGGTTATAAAATTCTATTATAGTCGATGATCTGCCTGTACATAAGTAGTCTTACTATGGTTAAATTGCAAGAAACCATTCAAAAACATTCACTACCATTTTATGACAACGACGAGTCGTCGAATATAGGAACCGCGCATGTTTACGCTACCTGGACCCGATCTTTCTTGAAACTAATTTATCCGTACCAAAGTTAATAAGTTGAGCCTCGTCGATCGGTCCAGTAGCACGAAGCTTGTTCCGCGGGGTCCTCGTGCACCGTCTCATTCGTTTTAATCTTGTGTATAGTAGCCAGCCCATTCGGATTAGTTTGCGATTAATTTTAAGTTCTCTAACACACGTGTACAACTCGCGTACATCACTACTTTGGGTATATCGAGACTCGCCAATACCGAATTAATCTGTAATGATTTTACGGGCGTCGATGTAGTGTGGTGCTCTAAATCGTGCGAACGTCGACACTTCGTAAGGTTATTAACGGATCGCAATAAAATCGACAGCGCGTCCGGTGACTAGCTTTATCAGTATGTGATAATTGTGTAAAAAATTGTTTAGTTACTGCATAGCGATGTATAGTTTCGTCAGTTCAGTGAGTGTGGATATTATGTGACGATGCGCTGTCGGTGTGTATGTCTAGTGCGTTAGCCAGTTGTACGCGAGTGGCGGGCCTCAGCTGCGGTCAGATCTCCAGTGTTATAACGTAGGTTTACTGTAAGGCGCCGCGCCCCCTCGCCTCCATTCATCATTAACCATTGTGTATATTAACATTAGTGCATTTAAATCGAACAAAAGCCGAATCGATGCGGACCCACCGCCTCCTCTAGCCGGGAGTAGTTACGGAATATTCTTTTTTTTAATTAAAATAATTGTACTTATATTTATTTTGTGATAAATTTCGTAGAGCGGGGGCGAGGTGAAGGCGACGGGAGCGCGGGGCGACGACGGTTGTTCCCGCTCTTTGTGAACTGTTCGGTTCTGCGGGAGTTACGGACTTGTTCTCGTTTGGCGTTTATGACGCGATGATAGTACGTACACCAGTGTGTCATAAATGTGAGGTGTTATAATGTAACGCGTGTGTGGAAGTGTACCGTGTAGCGTGGACGCTCGCTAGACACTGCCAGAGGCGGGTAGGCGCGTGCGCAGCGATCTCGTCTATTCCGTGCGTATGTTGATAGTTTTCACTTTTGTAAAAAGTCTATCGTGAGAGGATGATGAAATGGTAAATAATAATTTAAAAAATTATCTGTACAGTTCTATTTGTATAGAAATAATAAATAATGATTAAAAAAATTAAAACGAACGTTGTGATTTCTTCTTACGCTTAGTTTTTAAGTGCGTCGGTGGGCGGCACCGTCCGTGCGCGGTGCGGTTTTAGCATTTCTTTTTTTTTTCTAATTTATTTTTTATTGAAAGAAATGACTGTTTACTTTGTAGAATAAATTGTAAGAAAGCATTTACAAGTTTTGTTTGTTTGAAAATTTAGATTTTTATAACCCAATTCCGAAGATTGAAAGAGCTGTTTCCATTACGAATATTAAATAATATTTGAATATAAGCATAACCAAATATCAATCATTGACAGACTAGCTTTCTATGCTTGATATTACTACATAGTATAAAACAAAGTCGCTTTCACTGTTCCTATATCCGTATGTATGCTTCAATCTTTTAAACTACGCAACGGATTTTGATACGGTTTTTTTTTTCATAGATAGGGTGATTCAAAAGGGAATTCTTTATGGTCGGAAAGCTAGTGCTTGATAAATTAAACATGGGTGATATAAAAATAAAGACTGTAGTCTATTGCTCTTGGAGGAAATATTACAGGAGTAACAGTTGAACTAACCGCAGTTTGAGATTTTTTTATTACGGTTCCATTTCCAAAGGAGAAAATAAATTCCCGTAAAAACGTAGTTTATTATTAAGCCACTGTCCGTCCGGCTGTACTCAGGCTATCTTATGAACTATGATCATTAAACATTTTTGCAGATGTTCAGTTGTTGCTATAACATGTACGGTACTTGGTCAGTTTTTAGAAAATCAATACTACTTCAGATTATCAAAATGGCAAAAATGAAACTACAGCATGATCGATACGTTATATATTGTGTAACTATCGTTTCCTCTTGTGTCCACCGCGATGTCCGCCGGCTTTTGGCCGGATCCTTCGTCGGACGCCGGCCGCCTCCTCCGTGTCGTCATCAGAGTCTGCGGCCCCACGCTTCTTGCCCTTCGTGTTCTTTTTATCTTCAAGCTCTTTCATTTCCTGTTCATAACACAAGACGCTTAAAAAATCCGATAGTAATATATTTATTGATACATTAATACATTAATAGATACAAATACTTATAAAACCAGGCTATACTGGAATCATGTTTTTACTGGTAAAAGAATCATGAAAAAGCATTTCTGACAGAATAAAAGAGGTCTTTTTTTCGTTAGAATAGAGATTATTTTTGATAATTCACTTTTGGTAAGGGAGGACTTTTAAAACCACTCTGAAAGCAAACACGTAGTAACCTGCAAACCCACAATTATTCAGATCCGAATAACTTTTAATTTATTCATAATAAAAAAATATTATTTCCTTATTAATTGAATAAGGGATCATATTTGTTACTATGAATGTTATTCTGCTCTAAAGACCAATTTCGATTTTGCGGGTTACTACGTGTGATCGATCATACTCACAATGTTGGTGAGCCGCTGCGCTTCAGCAACTCTCTCCTGCAACACCATCACCTCACTCTCCTCTGTTTTGTACAGAGGAAGCTGCTTCCCTATCAACTGCTCGATGCGCTGATACAACTCTACATCGTACTGTAAAGAGTATAAAATATGAAATTAGCAGCCATTAACAATTATTGATTTTGAATTGGTGAAATTATTTTTTAAATTATTGGGAATAATATGTTGGTTCCATTTGTGATATTATCTAGAAGACGTAAGTAATCCTTATTGAGATCCAAAGTAATATACAAAATCTGGGAAATAGATATTAAAAAACTAACCACCCCTTCAACAAAAATAGTGTCTGTCTCACAGCGTAACTCAAAAGGGTGAAATGAATTCTCGTCCCATTAAAGTTATTATTTATCAGAATGTTTCAAAATAGACACAAATGGCCATGTTAGGTAGTTTCAGAGATTAACGAGTCTTTCCCTGATCTTTATTGATAGTCTGATGCCACTCAAGTCAGTCTAGCAGTGCCTCAGCTAGAAATATACTCGATAATTCCCAATACTACATAACTTGTTCCTGTTCATGCAACGCATATATAAAAAAAAGGGACTTGGTGGTTTAAACGGGACTTTGTGGTAGATTACAAAATACATTTATTACAGTTGACGGTTGACGAAAGACCCGGTTGTTGAGGCATGCAAATGTTGCGGAGAACCTTGCTGCAAGATTTGAAACTGGGTTTTTGCTCTCATTATTTTGTGTTGGATGCATGCCCTTTTTGTAAGTTCATTATGCCCAAGACTGAGCACAAAGAACTATCACTGTTTTGCCAATCATAATACAAGAATATCATAACTATACTGTTATCGGGGTGCAATTTGGTATTATATATGCTTAATCATCATCATCATCATCATCAGCCGGAAGACGTCCACTGCTGAACATAGGCCTCCCCCTTTGAACGCCACGACGGACGACATTGCGCCAGCTGCATCCAGCGGCCGCCCGCGACTCTGACGATGTCGTCCGTCCATCTAGACGGGGGTCGACCCGCGTTGCATCTTTCGGTTCGTGGTCTCCACTCGATAACCTTTTGTCTCCATCGGTTATCGGTTCGTCGAGCGATTCAGCTTACAAACTTTGCGAGCTATGTCGGTCACTCTAGTTCTTTGGCGAATATCCACGTTTCGGATCCTATCGCGCAAAGAAACCCCTAACATAGCTCTTTCCATGCCTCGCTGAGCGACTGAGCTTCTCTAAGAGGCCAGCAGTTAAGGACCATGTTTCAGTGCCATAGGTCATCACTGGCAATACACACTGGTTATACACCTTCGTCTTTAGGCACTGTATATGCTTAAATATTAGTTTAATTATGTTATTAACAAATTTATTATTAATTAATATATTTAATTTTTAAAATCTCTAAAATCGTCCAGCTATCAAATTGCACCTTAGATAACGGGGTTTACTCACAACGTACCTGTGTGACAAAAGTGATAGACTTCCCGGCTCGGCCCGCCCTGGCCGTGCGGCCCACGCGGTGGATGTAGTCTTTACTATGCAGCGGAATGTCCAGGTTGATAACTACGTCTACGTGAGGGATGTCCAAGCCTCTGCAACATTTGGGAACATTTAGAAATCCGACTTTCATAATACAAAATTGGAGGCCATACAATAAATTCTGGAAGGGGAAGACCTAGACTAAATAAATACATAGCACGACTAAATCGCAGACGTATTAAAGAAAGTTCAGGTCAAGAGTACCCTAAACCGGCGTTCTTGTATGAAAAGGTTCATGCGTGTCGAAGAAGCGAGAGAGGTACGTCGGGATGCCAACTGGAAGGAGGTGGTCACTGTCTATCCCGCCGGGGAAAGGCGCGTCATTATAGATAGAGACCAATCAAGGTCTGTCGCCATTTCTTGATTTGACATGCTTAATAACTGATACAAGTTGTCGCCATCTCTGTACTTTTTTAAATTGTTTCGGGTCTGGTTACTTTCGTTGTTTCAGGTTTACATACTACAAGTGCTTTAGTTTTTATTTCTCTCTTCTTCTCTCTATCTCCAATCAGTCTCTAGGTTTTAATCACATGCACTAATATCTATATAGATAAATAGTAAATAAAAAAACATGATTTACTCAGGCAGAACTTTATCAGCCCTCGACATAAACTAAATATAATCTTGACTTATTGGTTTAACTATAGTATTTAAACAGTTCTATATTACTGATTTAATACTTTTAATTATAAAAAGAAGTTTAAGTGGACACAGAACCTGTAAAGGATCCGAAAGCTTGAAAAATTAAAAATACACAAAAATACCCATGCCGAAACCGTTTAAAAGTAATTATTACACTTCTACGGCGAAGTGAAAAGAAGTGTTACGATTTTTGGCCGGTATGTATGAAAGAATGTTCATATGTTGATGTTGTTAACAAATAAGGTATCATTAGAAGCGTCTTAGTTGTCCGCGTGCTATAGGCTATGTGACGTTACATACAGAGGGCAACAGCGCCCTCTACAAAGCATGAAGTAAGAAACTTAAAAAATATATTATTAAATTATTCCGTGTACGATATCAGACATGATAGCTTTCCCTTGCGATTTTGCTTCATACACCCGAAAATTAATTAAATAATAACCAAAGGACAGCATAGTCATATGCCACTGATAATAACAAAACAAACTGTTGTGTGTAACAAATAAATTTCTTGTTACAAACTTTTTAGAGCGTGATTTACCTTTAGTTTTTGAACTTGTTTTTTTTTTATTGGATGAGTACTATATTGTTCAGATACCATTTCTGAATACTTCTAGAAGCTTACCTAGACGCGACGTCTGTGCATATGAGTATGGACCGGCTCTTATTCTTGAACTTATTGAGTGCCGCCAGTCGTTTGTTCTGCGACATCCGTCCGTGTAACGGCACCGCCGCCAGGCCCAAGTTGCGTAACAGCAGCGCCGCACGTAACGCGCCCGCGCACGTGTCCACGAACACGATGAACGAGTTACCGGACAACTCGTTCAGTATGTGCACCAAGTATACGTCCTGCATACAATAGGGTATTTGAAACTTTTCTCAAATCTATTTTAGATAAAATAATTGTTAAAGTTAAAATAGCCAAAATCGCGCAAAAAACGCTCGCTGCTTATGTAATGGCGCTGATCACGTGGTATTTGTGACGTCACACGCCTTTAAATATGTCAAGGTGAGATAACCTATTTATTTACGATGTAAACATATAGTATTACAGAAGAGAGATTTAAGTTAAATTTTATGTTTTGTTTATAAAAATGACCTACAAATTGTATGTATAAATACAAATTTTTCATATCTCTAATAACTGATTTGACATGACAACTTCCTGTTTACGTGTGACGTCACATGCCAGTAAACAGAACCTGTTATTGGTAGCGATGACAACCAATTACAGTCGTTCATCAAATTTCAAAAAATGTTGCAGCTTTTTTACATTATTTTTTATTTATTACAATATTATCTCTGTACCACAACATGCAATTTATTTTCAATAGTGTCAAATACCTATTGAACATTTCAAGAATATTTATGCAAATTTGAACCTTATTAATGTGGGATGTTTTAAACACTACTTTGTATAATTACTGTATTATATATGAATTATAGATGTCGATCAAGATATTGCACAACATCTAATTCTAATAATTTAATTAAAACCATGAAACATACGAGAATAAGAGGTCTTTGCCAAAGATGTAGTTATTTCAAAGAGCACTATAATCATTAGTTTCCCAACCTCGAAAAACTAAGGCACCCTTAAATTACAGTAAGTTCCAACTAAATGTGCCCATGGAGAATCTTTATTTGTGCAGAGCAGACCTACCAATTTCAATGTTGACCGAACATATGACTGAAATAACTATTTGAATGTTGCCTACTGCACAGGTTCGTTAGTAAGCCACATCAGTTGTATCTTACTGTATTATCATATTTATTTTTTTATATTAGTAGTAAGCCGGAGATCAGTGACTCCACAACATTCTGTTTACCTTATATTTCACAGGAATAAATATATAGTACTGCTGCAGTTTATCAACGGTCTGATACTTTGTGGACACTTCCACTTTAACTGGGTCCTGCAACGAGGCACGCTGAAGTTTCTGCACTTTTTTTGTCATAGTAGCTGAGAAGAGATATGTGCGACGCTCACGTGGTATCACGCGTAATATCTTATCCACCTCCACTTCAAAATCCATGTTCAGAATACGGTCTGCCTCATCCATCACCTGTAAATAGATAAACATAAAAAAACAAATCTGACGGGAGGAATACATCTTAAACTATAATGAGGGCTCATTGCAGATCGCTAGGTGTTAACAGCAGATATAGCCATATCAATGGCTTAATATGCCTTACGAAACACAGAGAACCTCACCCATTTGTTGATCGGCCTTTATATTTGGTGTATTTATACAAAGTTTTATTCAAAAGGGAGAAAAACATACTTACCAAATATTTAAGTGCCTTCAAGTTAAAACCCTTGGTATTCTCTAAATGGTCAACCAGTCTACCGGGGGTAGCGATAATTATATGCGGCTTCTTGGAGAGCTGAAGAGCCTGTGCCACCATATCCATCCCACCAACTATCACAGCACATTTTACACCTATACTTGCTCCTTGAAACATAAAATTTATTATTTTTAAGGCTAGGTGTTAAGACAACAGAAGAAATAAGATAGGAACAGGATGGCATATTATACTCGTATGTCACAACTTAATATAAAAAAAAAATATGAGTAGATCAATTAGCCTTTCAACCATTACATATATAAAATATAAATTTTATAATGTACATTACTTTCATGAGTATGTAGCAACTGAAATTATGTTTTGACTTACATTAGACCTTTTACGATAACACAACATTTGCTAGTTCATATTCATATAACTGAATTTTTAATACTACTTATCAAGATCATTAACTAAGGACTAGGAATTAAAATTATATTGTTAATATTAACTCACCGAGAGCCTCAAACTGTTCTGATATTTGAAATGCTAACTCCCTTGTAGGTGTTAATATCAGGGCAAAATATCTCTGTGGATTATCCAATAAGGCTTGTAGTATAGGTAAGGCAAAAGCACCAGTTTTGCCAGAGCCAGTCTCTGCAAGACCAATAATATCCTTCCCCTGCAAAGCGACTGGTATGGCTTCCTTTTGAATTTTCGATGGGTGTTTCCATTTTAATTCCTCACATGCTTCACATAAAACATCGACAACACCCTGAAAAAAACCATGAAGGTGATATTAGAAATATGAAGTGTTGCAACATTGATGTGCCTTAAAATTAAAGTTACTTGATGACCATTTGCTTTTATCAGCATCTGTTGTTCATAAGCAGACATAGCTATGCAACCTACAAATCTGTATATGCAGAGTAATCTAAATATGAACATTCTATAGGTTCTATGAAGATATTTTGTTAATGTCATATCTTGACTATATCTAATATTGCTTTTACATGCGACTTAACCTATATTCGTTAATATTTATGGCATTATATGTACTACTATAAAACTTGTCATTATATTTAGACAAACCATAACATAATAATGTTATTATGAAAATACAAAAGGAAATGTAAAATACCAAATCTTTGAAGGACACAGTTCCTTCAGTCTCTTCATTTGATAAAGTCTGTTGTTCTTCTATATTTTGGTTTTCTTCGTCACTGCTGCCACTATCAGTAGTCATTTTATTAATTTTTTTAGTTTGTAATTTTAATCTGAATAAACTTAAAAATTCAGAATTGAATTTTCATCACATTTTACATCACATTTCACACTAACACGTGCTATTATTTACCATTTTCACCGACACAGACCCATATTATGAATCAAAGAGTAAAAGTATATGAGCATTTTTCATTTTAAAGTATTGCCAACCAATCAAATTAGAGTTTTTTCTCTATCGACAAAGAGTAGAGGTAAATTGAAGAGAAGTAAGAGGTTTTTAAGAAAACAAAGAAAATCAAAAAAGTACCGTAACAACATTTAGTTTGATTTCGGATTTTGTTTTAAAAATTGAAAACCATCTGGGTGTAGTGGTTCGTGCTCTTGATACGACTTATATGTCTGTGACTTTTACTTGATACCATATCGGTAATGAGGAATCGATACCTACTCGCTATATAATGAAATGTATGGATATTTACTAGTTTTGAATAGATTTAAAATGCCTTACCATAGTCGTTATTTTTATAGATATTTGGAACAGATTTGATACTATTGATAGTCAATAGCAATACTATGTTTACGGAAGAAAGAGAAGGAGGTTCAGGCATAAAAAGCGATGCATATAAGTATTGCTTTTAAATTTTGTTGACAGAGACGCTGCGCCTGAGGGAATTTTTCATGAGACATACTTTAGATACCTTACCACAGAATTAACAGCCATAACAGGCCCGGGAGTTTTTTGACACTTCTCAGTTCTCAGTGAGTGACCGATCAAGAACTGATACATATACTTCCTACTCAATAATAATCGATACTCGGTTCTAAAGATTCAAGTAAGTACTTGCATTGACTCATAGTACCTACCTTCTTCTTGGTCTGTGACTCATATCGCCATCCCTAGTTTATTTGGTTTACATAAATAATTAATGTTGAGGTTAGTTTTTTATATTTCAAGAAACAGAATATTTTACTATATTTAATAAGAAGAAATGGCTAAACATCATCCCGACTTAATTTTCTGCCGTAAACAACCAGGTGTAGGTAAGTTGGATGCATAAAGTTTTTTTTATTATAAAATATTGAATTCAGTTTATTACATTGTTCTACTTCTTCTCCTTTTAAATTAATGGCGTTTTCCTTGTGGATTTCGCTAGAATCCAGTGTTTCGTATTTATATTATTTATATTTTATAAACTCTGCATTTTATAAATTGTAAACATGTAATTTTTTATTCGTATCTTTCCAGCTATTGGTCGCTTATGCGAAAAATGTGATGGCAAATGCGTGATTTGCGATTCGTATGTACGTCCGTGCACTTTGGTTCGAATTTGCGACGAATGTAACTATGGGTCATATCAGGGACGATGTGTTATTTGTGGAGGTCCCGGAGTATCAGATGCGTATTATTGCAAGGAGTGTACAATTCAGGAAAAAGACGTATGTATATTAGTCTTAAGAGTATTTACCAAAGATTTTTTTAAGTTGTAATTCATAGACACTGGAATCTATCGAATTTGGCATTTAAGCCTGCCAAATTTGAAAAGATAAATAACAAATAAAAGATTTAATATCGGTTAAACATTTCATGTTAATAATATTTTTAACCATTATCATCGGCATATTGATGTCGCACATTGGAGCATGTCTCCCTTGTGGAAAGAATTATAGAGAGTATATCTCCGAACCTACCATGAAAGATTGGTGGGTGCCACACCAAGAGCTTAATGTGCCATACTATACATAGCAAATTTTTCATTATGTGTCCTTAAACTGGAATTTTTATATCAACATATTTTATGTAACCTTATTGTAAGCATTATAATATTGTTTTATCATGGACACTATCCAAATCTTGTATGTCTACTGATTTCCACAGAATTTTTCATTTTGGGGCTATGTGTATTCTTCTTCTTTGAAATATTGTTTAGATTTATTAATAATGTGGTTTGAACCCTGATAATACAAGAAGATAGTCTCAACAGTTGTGAAATTCCTGACACATCAATCTTGAAATAAAAATCTTTATTTTTATCTTAAATCGGTTCTTTCAAGTAATTTTATTTCTATTTCATAAATTTAATTGTCAATAGTATAGTAGTAGTATATACAGATCGCAAATTTTAGGGTTTGACACTATTTACTCTGCCATATGCTGTCCAATTCGATTTTAAAATTTTTGGCAACACCAGCTAGTCTGATTGTAGCTGAGAGGCTGATTGCAGATAAAAATAATAAATAAAAAAAAAAAAATTATAGACATTTATCAAATGTGACTATTTCATTTTTGCAGAGAGATGGCTGTCCGAAGATTGTGAACTTAGGAAGTTCTAAAACTGATCTATTTTATGAAAGAAAGAAATATGGCTTCAGAAGACATTAACAGTGAAATTTGTTTTATAATTCCAATAGTCTGTAATGTATTTGTATAAGTTTCATAAAAGTACATAATTGTGATGTAATTCAGATAGTATATTTTTTAAACCATAATTAATGATATCAATAAAGAATTTACTTTCTACACTCTCTGAAATGTTCAAGATGTCCATAAAGTCGGAAATATAGTAGTCTCTTTATTCACAGCTTCCTTGTGCACATTATCATTATTAATGGGTGAAATTATTTTTAACCTAATTTCTTTACTCACGACTAAAATATGCTTATTCATTGATGCTATTGGTAACAAAGGGATTTTGCATTGTTTATTAACTTTGACCATCTTTAATTACTCTGGGCATGTGCCAATGTGGATTTTATACCGCATTGTAATTTTTGATTTGTCGTACCATTCGTAAAATACTTTGAAAAGCTAAATAATGTATACTTTAGTTATCAATTTGAATTTAAAGTTCTTTAACAGCTGCATAATAAGTAAAATTAATAAAATCTTTAAAAACCCTTGTAGAAAGCTAATAAATTCAATTTATTATAACATACATATTGCTTTTATTTTTGATTCTTGGAACATATCACTTATACTATATGTCATCCCATATTCGCGTTTTCTGTATTCGCTGCATATATAAGGAACGTGAATAAGGAGCTTCTACTGTATTTGAAATAAATAACTATGTTAAGATAGTGCCACATATGAAACTTAGTTTTTTTTTTTAATACCTTGCACTCAGGTCAAGAAAGGAACACCTTTTATTGTAGGGTAAATGCTTTATGCGTACCTTGCTAGGTAGCTTACTAGGTGCTAAGCGACAAGCTTCAACCATTTAACTTGAAAATATACAGATATGAGAAGCTGTGAAGCTGTACTCAAGCGAATGCAAGAAACACCTAAAATTTTCAATTGGTAGACCTGCAGTGAATTAAAATAAGTTTATTTCAGGCTTTCATTAAAATAAATATAAATTATTATTAATTGAGTATACAGTAACTACATGTTACTACATATTGTAGTTTGTGCTAGACCCATAGTTACTGAAAATACTGTATATCATTATTGTTTGACACAAATTGTACTAATGCAGTAAATTGTGTAAATAAAATTATGTGATTAAATAGGGTGTGAAATAAAAATGATTAAATATCATTATAGAAACAAAAAATACTTTTATTGAAGTTATTTAATCTTATATTCACCTTTTTACTGGATAATAATTCAACTCAATAATCTGAAACTTTCAGGTTGGACGTCACAGTTTCATTAAATTCTAATGTCAATAGATGGCGTAATTTTTTTAATTTGATGCCTTGTAATGAGAAAGTATTTAAAAAAAACATTAGTTCTTGAAATTAAACTAGAGGTCGTCACGGTACGTTCTTGATTTCTCCATGACAACCCTTCCGGTTTTTTTATTTCTATTAAATTAGTTTTCAAAACTCAATAAACAACTCATATTCTATTTATTCTTTTTCGTATTTGTATTGATATCTAAGTTTCGAACTTTTCAAATTTCAGTTTGAATATGTTAGTTAATAGGAACGGAAATGACTGTCTTCGGTCCATTCGTTTCCTGCAAAAATCAACTTTTGATACAGTTGCCATCTAGTGGAGGTGCTTTTTTAGTTCTTTCGTTTTTTTTAAATACTTCCTCATTAAGGATTAAAAAAAAAAACATAAGGTCCCGAAACCAAACTAGATGTCGCTACGGTACGTTCTTGATTTCTCCATGACAACCCTTCCAAATAAATTTAATAAATTACATTTTATTAATAATATGGTGACTCAAGCAAAAGTTGATTTTTGCAGGAAACGAATGGAGCAAAGATAGTCGTCTCCGTTCCTTTTAACTTACATATTAAAAAACTGAAATTTGCAAAGTTCGAGACCAAGATATAGAACATGAAACAAGATACATGAAAGAAAATCGGAAGGGTTGTCATGGAAAAATCAAGAACGTACCGTAGCGACATCTAGTTTGATTTCGGGAACTAATTTTTTAAATACTTCCTCATTAGTCGTTGCGACACAGTAGCTAGGCACGTTGTACAATATTGCTTATATTCCAGCTATTTAACTAAACACTTTTATACCTATGGCCGATATTGTTTTCAAAAAAAGGCCAGTCACTAATTGCTGAAACATATTGTCCGATTAGAAGTAATTTTATGATATACAGCTTAATCTAATTTCTTGTAATAGTTTTGTATACATTGAAATTGTATATAAAAAGTACTTTATACATTATTTAGATTCGAAAGAGATAAGTGCAAATAAGGCCTAATCATATTCATCAAAATACTTAGCTTTTGCTCTCGAATGTCTGCCTAAATCTTTTAGGATTTTCCTTGAAGTGTCTTTCTGTCTTATTACATAGAGATTTTTTTTTCAAAATAACCTATATCTCAGACCCCATAGACAAATTAAAAAATCCTATTTCTATTTTACAGAGTCCTCCTATTTCAAATACCCTTAGATCCTCAATATTGAAGATTAATTCTTTTATCTTTTATACAATCCATATTATAATTAAAAAAACTGCGGTTGTTCACATGCATAAAGTTGACACCATTCAGTCATCAAACATTAATAGAAATATACTTATTTAAGATGCTAATATATTAGTTTCAAATATTTCAAGAGATTATAAAAAGTTTCCATATATTTTTTGTTTTCGTTTACCGAACATAAAAATTATGTCTTAAATCTGCATTTTAAATGTCGTTTAACACTTTCTATCATATCAACAGTTGTCTGTCCTATTATAGTGGTTAGAGTCGATATACCACGCCCAGTTTGTTAACCACATCGACCAATATAACTGAACCATTACAGAGAGAACAAAAAGTAACATTTTTGAATACGAAACTACTTGACTACATCGACTATCGGTTTTTGATCGCTGAATGGTACAGGGCCAAACTTAGGGGGAAGGGATGGATGGGGGGGCATTTTCCCTGGGGAAAGTACTTCGCAAAAATTGAGCTAATGAACCGATTTTAAAATTCAATCTTCAGCAAAATGCTGTGTGAGGGGTAATAGAATTATTATGGAAGCAGCTTTTTATATTTTTATTTAACATTATGTGCAAACTGAAAAAATATAACGAAACTTAGGATACATTATTTGTATTATGTTACACCGGCTTCACACTGTGGTCCATGATGGGCGAACACAGGCCATCACCATTGTGTAGACGGCAAGTTCGCCTCTATTGGTCCGTGATCGGCGATGATTATCCACGTTCACTGTGTCGGTTTTTCAAATAAACATCAAAGAAAGTTTGGCCACGATCGTGCGCAGGCGTTCACACAATCGCTGACCACTCAGATGATACGGTGCGGACGCGAGCTGTTTTGCCTGTAATCGATGCTAAAATGTCATAGCCAAAGAAGACCTATAATTATCCATTTATGTTTACAGAATTAATAATTGGGACGGTCAACAAAGACAATTGGGATACTTGTTTCGACGTCCATATAGTTCAGATGGCAATTAACAAATGTGGCGTAGCCGATCGTGTGGACAGCGGCACAATGTTGGTGACAATCATGGTGGCACTTATGGGCCACAGTGTGGAGCGACTATTACAAATCACTTTTTTGTTCCATTATTACATAAATTGAAAAACAGCGTGGCGATTATCGTTATACCGTGGCATGATTAGTCGGTAGCCAAATAAAAAATTAGCGATCATAAAACCGATTATACTCGCAATCAAAAAGGTTATTTTAACTCTGACACTTTATTTTTAACATCGATTGTCTTACCAAATTGATCACATCACCAAAATGTAAGCAGATTTTAGCAGATTTAGATAATAAATGAATAGAAATATTTGTGCAGAGATTTAATGCGGATGCTCTCTGTTATATTCTAGTTCAAGGGCTTGTTCTGAAGTTGTACTATCTGTGCGTGGGCGTGGTGTTGGTGGCTGGATTTGTCCAAATGTTGGGTTCGTTGGGGTTGGCGGTCGCGCTGGCGCCGCCGTCGACTGCTTCGGAGTAGGCGGGCCGCGCGGGGATGATGGGCGATCTGACACAGACACTGTAAGTAAACATCGATCAAATATTACACGGTAGAGTTGGTAAACTATGCAACAACGTGCAATTGGATACTTGAGGGTTATAACAATAAATTATGATAAGTGTTCGATTTTATTTTTCAAAATTAACTCGCCGTTTATGGTTAAATTACAAGAGCATCGTGTGACGTCACATTTCAATAAACTCCTTAGTTGCAAGTGTAATCAGGGCAGTTCTGCTAATGTTTAATGTTAAGTATTAATCGCATCTCAATAGAATTTACTATTACCCGAAGTACAATATTTTTCGTTTTATATCTTTGTCATAAATCAATAGGGACAGATATTTATTAATAATGGACTTCTGGTAGATAGTACATTGATAAAATGTGATTGGTTGAGGATCTATTGATTAATAATCGCATGATTTAATAATCATTAGGAAACATTAGCAGATTTGGCCTACAGTACTCATATTTGTTGAAATGTAACGTCACGACTCGAAATGTCACGTGACCAATTGTTTTTGTGGAATTGCGAAAATAACCTACGTCCCTAAAATTTAATGTTGAGAATAAAATTTTTAAGTGGGGAGGGTGAGGGCAGGCCCGGATCTATGAGTTAAGAGGGCAAACCGTGGCTTCTGCTCTGGGCGGTAGTTTCATAACAAGTTAAAAAAAATGCACTTTAAGATTTTTTTATATTTGTTATCCTCAATACTTAATAAAAAATGGTATCCATTGTATTTGTGTGAGTTTTCTCAACAATTTATCTCAAATTCTGGAGGAGGGGGTCATGAAGTTTTTACCTCGTTAAGAAAGAATCTTAGATCTGGAGCTGAGTGTGGGTTCGGTATAATACCCAATTTTAACAGTGATTCTATTAAGTAAAATAAATACTACAAAACTGGAGGGATGTAAGTATGAGTCGCAAAGAGCCGAAATATACTTTTCACGGTCACGTTAGAAGTATTAAATCTGGCAAGTGTGCACAAAGAAACCAACAAACAGCTTGTATAATTTAAGATGTTGTAAATTCATATACATAATTTTGTAAATTAATATATCAAATAATTTAAATATTTCAATAGCATGGTGTAGTAGAGAAATTAATACCTAAGTATCTCACGGCGTAAAAATATTATGTTGAACAATTGTA